GGTGATCCCAACAAACAAAATTATGCCAACCTTCAATGATCCCAAACCCCCAATGATCTCAGTGACCCCAATGATCCCAATGATCTCGTTGATCCCAACAAACAAATTGATCCCAGCCCTCAATGATCCCAAACCCCCAATGATCCCAGTGATCCCAACCCTCAATGATCCCAAACCCCCAATGATCCCAATGATCCCAGTGATCCCAACCCTCAATGATCCCAAACCCCCAATGATCCCAATGATCCCAGTGATCCCAACCCTCAATGATCCCAAACCCCCAATGATCCCAATGATCTTGGTGATTCTGGTGATCCCAACAAACAAAATGTTCCCAGCCCTCAATGATCCCAAACCCCCAATGATGTCAGTGACCCCAAATGATCCCAACAATCTCAGGGATCCAAATTATCCCAATTTTCCCAATGTTCCAAATCGTCCCACCAATCCCAGTGTTGTCAGTGATCCCAATGACCCCAATTATCTCAGCAATCCTAATAATTTAAGCAATCCAAATTATCTCAGCAATCCAAACAATCTCAGTGACCCCAATGATCCAAATGATCCCAATTATCTCAACCATCCCAATTATCCCAGCACTCCTGACTACCTCAACTCGGTGATCCCAAATATCTCAGTCATGGGAACAATCCCAATGTTCTGCCCACGCTTCTGAGGCTCCCACGGGTGGATTCTTCCCATTGTGGAGATTTTTGGGAATGATAGGACAGACCCTTTGTGTGCCTCCTTCACTTGGGGTCTCCCAGCTCTGATCCCAAATCTGGATCCCAAATCTGGGATCCCCTGGCTCTGCTCCCACCCACGGGATCTCCCTGCTCTGATCCAAAATCTGGGATCTCCCAGCTCTGATCCAAAATCTGGGATCTCCTGGCTCTGCTCCTACCCTCGGGATCTCCCAGCTCTGATCCCAAATCTGGATCCGAAATCTGGGATCCCCTGGCTCTACTCCCAGCTCTGATCCCAAATCTGGGATCCCCTGGCTCTGCTCCCAGCTCTGATCCCAAATCTGGATCACAAATCCGGGATTCCCTGTCTCTGTTCCCACCCTCGGGATCTCCCTGCTCTGAGCCCAAATCTGGATCCCAAATCTGGGATCCCCTGGCTCTGCTCCCACACTCAGGATCTCCCAGCTCTGATCCCAAATCTGGGATCCCCGGATCAGATCCCAAATCTGGGATCCCCGTCTCTGTTCCCACCCTCGGGATCTCCCAGCTCTGATCCCAAATCTGGGATCCCCGGATCAGATCCCACTCCCGGGACCGCCCGGCTCTGCTTCCCGGATCCAGGATCCCCCTTTGGGAACGGGAACGAGGAGAATCCCGGGATAATCCCGAGCTCCGGAGCCGGGACGGGGCTGGATGCGGGGACACAGCCGACGTCCCCCGGGACACGCGCCGTGACAAACCCGGCAGGGCGATTTACACAAATTCAGGGGGACACCGGGGGGGGTCTGGGGGTGGCGTGTCCTGTTTGGGACCCTTGTCCCCGCTCGGTGGCCGTGGCCGGGCGGGGAGCGGAGGTTCCGCTGCCGGCGGGACTGGGGCTGGCCCTGCCTCCTCCTCCTCCTCCTCCCGCCGCTCCCGCTCCCACTTCTGCAGCTGGAATTGCAATTTGAGGCGCTGCCTGGGCCGGGACAGGGAGTGGGAGGAAGCCGGAGCGCGGGGGGCTGCGCGGGGCCCCGGCGGGGACAGAGCCGCGGGCAGGACGGGGACAGAGCCGCGGGGACAGAGCCACCACCAACCCGGGGGACACGGCCCGGGTGACAAAGAGGGGGGTCCCCAACCTGTGTCCCCCACCACAGCGGTGAGTGGTCAGCGGGGGTGGCGGAAACTGGCGTGGGGACGTGGGGACAGCCCCGTCTCCTGGCCGACGTGAGGGTGGCACCACCCTGGGGTCGCTGCCCTGTTTGGGGACACCCGGGGGGTGCCAGGACTACGCGGCCTCTTCCCAGTGGGAATAGGGGGGTGTGAGCACGGGGGGGAGGGGGGATGGACGCTCGGACACTGTCCCCGTGTGTCCTGTCCTGGGGAACACTGCTGTGACCATTGGGGACACTGCTGTGACCATTTGGGGACACCGCTGTGACCATTGGGGACACCACAAAGTGCCAGCATCATGCAGGGACACCCCCGGGTGGCTCCTGTGTCCCAACCATGGCCGAGGGGACAGGGAAGGGCTCCAGGGAACCCCAACAGCTCCTCGGGAGCACTTGGGGTGTCCCTGCAGCCATGCTCACAGAGGGGATGTGGGGACAAACAGCTCCTTCTGTCCCAACACAGCTGGATGGGAGCCCCACAGCTGCCCTCAGCCTCCCTGGTGTTCCGTGGGGTCACCCCGAGTTTGTGGGATCACCCCAAGCTTGTGGGGACGCCCCGAGCTTGTGGGGACACGCTGAGTTTGTGGGGGCACCCAGAGTTGTGGGGTCACCCTGCGTTTGTGGGGTCATCCTGAGTTTGTGGGGTCACACCAAGTTTTGGGGACATCCCGAATTTTAGGGTCACCCCAAGTTTTGGGGACACCCCGAGCTGTGGGGTCACGCTGAGTTTGTGGAGACATCTCGACTTGTGGGGACAACCCGAGTTTTGGGGACGCCCCGAACTGTGGGGTCACCCTGCGTTTGTGGGGTCACCATGCCAACCAAGCCGATGTCCCCGCGCCCCTCTCGGCCGTGCCGCAGTCCCGGTGTCGCTCCCGGCTGCTCCACCCTGATCCCGTCCCAAACTTTGTTTCCTTTCCCCGTTTCCGTGAGCCCCCGTGGAGGCGGAAATGGTGGAAAATCCTCAAAATCCGGAGAGAGCCCGGGAGGCACCGGGATCTGCCCCGGGAGGGTCCCCCAGGGCCGGGGGCTTCGTCCCGTGTCCCCTGGGTGACAACAGCGCGGTCACTGGGGACACTCGGGGGCCTGAGGCCACCCACTGTCCTCGCCTGGGAGGGGAATGGCACCTTGGGGACAAAGGGGGCTGTTGTCGCCCCCTGCCACCCTGGAGAAGGAGGATTTTGGGACAGGCACCTTGGGGACAAAGGGGGCTGTTGTCACCCCCTGCCACCCCGGACAAGGAGGATTTTGGGAATGGCGCCTTGGGGACAAAGGTGGCTGCTGCCACCCCCTGCCACCCCGGACAAGGAGGATTTTGGGAATGGCGCCTTGGGGACAAAGGTGGCTGCTGCCACCCTCTGTCACCCTGGACAAGGAGGATTTTGGGAATGGCACCCTGGGGGCAAAGGTGGCTGCTGCCACCCCCTGTCACCCCGGACAAGGAGGATTTTGGGAATGGCGCCTTGGGGACAAAGGTGGCTGCTGCCACCCCCTGCCACCCTGGACAAGGAAGATTTTGGCCACTCGGAGGCTGAGGGTCAGCACAGACCCCATAGTGACCCCCTGGACCCCCCATGGCCATGAAGGGACAAGGGACAAAGCCACAGAGCCACCAAGGGCTGGCCTGTCCCTCTGGGGGAGATCAGACTGTGGGATTGGGGACACTGGGGACATCCCTGCTGTAAAAGAACACAAATCCCAGAGTTGGGAGCTGATTTCCTGCAGGAAAACCTCCTGGAAAGCCCCATTTTGGTGGAAAAGGACCCCTGGAGCACCCCCAGGACCCCACATGTGACACCCCAGGGCCACCAGCACGGCCTTCCCTGCCCACAGCTCCGGGGTGGCCTGAGCTGGATCCCCATTCCAGGGAAAACCTCCCCACCTGCCGTTGGTATCCTGAGGGATTTTTTGGGAAGAGGGGAGGCTGTGCGGCCATGGGGATTTTTCGGGAAGAGAGGAGGCTGTGGGGCCATGGGGATTTTTTTGGGAAGAGGGGAGGCTGTGGGACCGTTGGTGGATTTTTTGGGAAGAGAGGAGGCTGTGGGGCTGTGGGGACTTTTTGGGAAGAGGGGAGGCCATGGGACCATGGGGATTTTTTGGGAAGGGCCATGGGGCCATGGAGATTTTTTGGGAAGACGGGAGGCTGTGGGGCCATGGGGATTTTTTTGGTAAGAGGGGAGGCTGTGGGGCCGTGGGGAGTTTTTGGGAACAAGGGAGGCTGTGGGGCCGTTGGTGATTTTTGGGAAGAGGGGAGGCTGTGGGACCATGGGGATTTTTGGGAAGAGGGGAGGCCATGGGGATTTTTTGGGAAGAGGGGAGGCTGTGGGGCCGTTGGGATTTTTTGGGAACAGGGGAGGTGTAGTATTGCGTGTTTTGTATAGGTTTTTTTATATAGCGAGACTGCAGGGAGGCTGTGGGGATTTTTTGGGAAGAGAGGAGGCTGTGGGGCTGTGGGGATTTTTTTGGGAAGAGAGGAGTCTGTGGGGCCGGCAGCTCGTGGGTGGGTTTGGCTGGCGGGGAGGCCTCTCCCGATGAGCTCAGCCCTATCCCAAAGCTCTGGATTTGTGGGATGAGAGCGGCCGGTGAGGGCTGGGGGATTTGGGGGCGGTGGGAGGCCATGGCCTCGGGAAGGAGGCCAGGAGCTGGAGTGTTATCCCTGGAAGAAGATTTGGAGCTGGTCCAGCTGGGTTAGAATCCCTGGGAAGGGCCAGGATCCCTTTGGACACCGCGCTTCCATCAGGAAATAAATTGGGATTTTTCCTAAATGAGCCCTCCCCAAAAAAGGGATTTGGTTGAGGGTAAAAATGTGCAGGAACAGCAATTTCCACCCTGCGCATCTGTATCCTGAACATCTGTCTGACCTGCCCGGTGACAGGAACTCGAGTCCCTGTTCCCACAGTGGCTATGACAGCCGAGGACGCCCTGGACGGTGACAATCATGTGCGCCCCAAACTGGGACAGCCACACCCCATGGGGAGCTGGGATTTGGGGTCCTCTCCTGCCAATCCTACAAATCCCAGCCTCGTCCCTGGTGTGGTTTTTGGGGACTCAAGGCTGAGAGTACACTGAGGGGACATTGAGTGGACAATGTGGCCACCCCACACCACCGAGGGGACGCAGGGATGGATTTTGTCCCTTCCTTTTCCAGGCGGGCAGCAAGGCCATGGCGATGCTCCTGGAGCCTGGGATGCAGAGCCTGCGGATGGGTAAGGATGTCCCCAGGGGGTGGCACTGGCTGAGATGTCCCCAGAAGGTGGCATTGGCTGAGACGTCCCCTGACCCCCCAGATGATCACTCCCTGTCTGGGTGCCTTGCTGTGCCCTCTCTGTCCCCTCCGCAGCCCCCGTGCCAGGGAACCAGAACCAGCTGTGGGAGGAAACCTCATTCCACCATCCCAAATCTGACCCCACCATCCCAAACTTGACCCCACCATCCCAAAACTGTTCCTGCCATAGCAAACCTGATCTGGCCATTTCAAACCTGATCCCGCCATCCCAAACCTGACCCCGCCATCCCAAACCCAATCCTGCCATCCCAAACCAAATCCCACCATCCCAAACCTCATTCTGCCTTCCAAAACCCAATCCCACCATCCCAAACCTGATCCCTCCATCCCAAACCTGATCCCAACATCCCAAACCTGATCCCCCTGCTATCCCAAACCTGCTCCTGCCATCCCAAACCCAATCCCACCATCCCAAACCTGAGCCAACCATCCCAAACCAGATCCTGCCATCCCAAACATCATTCCTCCATCCCAAACCTGGTCCTGCCCTCCCAAACTCAATTCTGCCATCCCAAACCTGGTCTCGCCATCCCAAACCCGACCCCGCCATCCCAAACCTCATCCCACCATTCCAAACCTGATCCCACCATCCAAATCCAGGAATGCCGAGGCTGTGGTAGGAATTCTCCCACCCCCCCACCCCCCCCCCCCCCAATCCCTGACCCCGATCCTTCTCCTCAGGAATGAGGTTTCATGTCCGAGGCTCTCCAGAGCCCCCAGGGTGTCACCGTCCCCCTCCTGGCTCTGTCACACGCAGAGGCGGCGCAGGGACCGTTCCCATTTGTCTGGGATCAAATATTTATGGGACAGACACAGATACAGGGAAAGGCACTTAGGGAGCGGGTGTAGGGGACAGCAGACGTGTCACCAGCACAACTCCAGGGTGGGGACATGGCCATCGCTGTCCCCAGCTCTGGGATGTGGCTGACACAAAGTTGGGATCAAACCAATCCCAATCCCAAACACAAAGTTGGGATCAAACCAATCCCAATCCCAATCCCAATCCCAATCCCAATCCCACAGCTGCTGCTGTTGGGGGATTCCAGAACATTCCTTGGGGTTCCTGAGATTCCTGAGGGTGTCCCAGTGGCTGTCCCGGGGAAAACTGGGAGCTGGGATTGGTTTGTCCGGACTCCGGTGAACAGGAGATGGAGTTTTGTTCTTCCTGGAGGAATCTCCTCTGTTCCAAAATCCCTCCAACCACGGAGCCTCCTCTGTTCCCAAATCTCTCCAACTATGGAACCGCTGCTGTTCCCAAATCCCTCCAACCACAGAGCCTCCTGTTCCCAAATCCCTCCAACCACGGAGCCTCCTCCCCAAATTTCTCTAACCATGGAACCTCCGCTGTTCCCAAATTTCTCTAACCACGGAGCCTCCACTGTTCCCAAATCCCTCCAACCACGGAGCCTCCTCTGTTCCTAAATCTCTCCAGAGCCCGGCTGGGGGTGGGCAGTGCTCATCCCCACTCCCATGGCCCCAATCCCGGCTGGATCCCAACAGGATCCCAGCAGGATCCCGGCAGGATCGGCAATCCCACAGCGCAGGTTTTAGGACCGACAGTCCCTTCACCTCGCCGGTGTCACCGCCCGGACCCCACACCGCATTCCCAACACTTTCCCCCATCCCAATGCCTCGGGAAAGCCGCTCCGCCAGCTCCCCCAGCTCCTTCCAGCTGGGGCCGCTCCAGCGGCTCTGTCGTGGGCGGTGATTAATTAATGCCGGCTGCTAATTGGAGCCAGGTGCCCTGGGCAGCGCGGGCGGGACAGCCCCGTGCCCTCGGGACTCTGGGGCTCACCCCATCCCGGTTTTGGGATCATCGGGGGTCCCCAGGGCTGGAATTCTGCTGCTGGAGGGGACAGGGACGGGTGGTGGCTTCAGGAGGAGGAAGAGGAGGAGGGAAAATCTGCTCTGCCCATGATCCCCACCCCCAGATTTTGGGATTACCACGGGCTCACGCAGGAGCTTCCAGGGTGTCCAGGAAACCGGGATATTCTGGAGCATGGCCGAGGGTCTGAGCTGGATCCACCCTCCCTCGCTGGTTCTCCATGGATTTGAAACACAGACATTTCCTTTCCTTCTTTCCAAGTTTTCCCCCATTCCCACTGAATCCAAATCTTCCAGCTGCTGGGCTGGAGCAGCTTCCCCTGGATTGTCCCATTGGACACATACCTGGAAGTGTCCAAGGCTGTGTTGGATCCATCTGGGATAATGGGAGGTGCCTCTGCCCATGGATAGGGTGGCACTGGATGGGATTTAGGAACCTTCCCAACTCCAACCATCCTACAATTCCATGATTTTATGAACTTCACATCTGGAGACCCCACAGTGACTCTGTCCCCTCCACCATCACATCCACCCCAGATTGTCTCCATCGGGATGTCCTGGCTGGTCTCTCCTTGAGGGGAGGATTTGGGAAGGGCTGGGATCCCTTCCCATGCAGATCCATCTCCAGCAGGATGTCCCAGGTGGTCTCTCCTTTGGGAATGGTCTTTGGAAAGGGCTGGGATGCCTTCCCACCTGGATCTGTCTCCATTGGGATGTCCTGGGTGGTCTCTCCTTGGAGAAGGATTTGAGAAGGGCTGGGATCCCTTCCCACCCGGATCCATCTCCATTGGGATGTCCTGGGTGTTCTCTCCCTGGGGAAGAGTCTTTGGGAAGAGCTGGAATCCCTTCTCCCCCATATCCGTCTCCATCGGGATGTCCCCGTGGTCTCTCCCTGGGAAATGGTCTTTGGGGTCCCCCAGACTCTCCCATCCGTGTTCCCAGGTGCCAACGGCGAGCGGTGCCCGACGCCGTCCCCACCCGGCTCCCCGGGGACGCCCCACGACAGCTGCAGCATCGCCCCACTGACGCCCTCCCAGTCACCGGTGAGTGCCACACCAGTATGGCCACTGTGGGGTCCCAGTAAGGCAGCTTTGGGGTCCCAGTAAGGCCATTATGGTGTTCCCAGTAAGACCAGTGTGGGGTCCTAGTAAGGCCATTATGTGGTTCCCAGTAAGGCAGGTGTGGGGTCCTAGTAAGGTCATTACGGGGTTCCCAGTAAGGCAGTTGTGGGGTCCCAGTAAGGCCATTATGGGTTTCCCAGTAAGAGAGTTTTGGGGTCCCCAGTAAGGCCATTATAGGGTTCCCAAGAAGACAATTATGGTGTTTCCAGTAAGACAGTTTTGGGGTCCCAGTAAGGCCATTGTGGGGTTCCCAGTAAGGCAGTTTTGGGACCCCAGTAAGGCCATTATGGGGTTCCCAGTAAGGTCACAGTGGGGTCCCCAATAAAACCTTTATGGGGTTCCCAGTAAGGCAGATTTAGGGTCCCAGTAAGGCCATTATGATGTTCCCAGCAAGGCAGCTTTGGGGTCCCAGTAAGACCACTATGGAGTTCCCATTTTGGCCAATATATGGTCCCAGTAAGGCCACTAAGGGGTTCCCAGTAAGGCAGTTTTGGGTTCCTAGTATGGCCATTATGGGGTTCCCAGTAAGGCAGTTTTGAGGTCCCAGTATGACCATTATGGGGCTCCCATTTTGGCCTGTGTGGTTCCCAGTAAGGCAGTTGTGGGGCCCCAGTAAGGCAGTTTTGGGGTCCCAGTAAGCCCCTTGGGGTCCGTCAACCTCGTCCCTTCCCCTTCTGGTCCTTCTCCATTTCCTGCTCCCCCTCCCCTCCCAGTCCATCCTCCATCCCCCCAGTCCCACAGGATCAGCCTATCTCCAGGACCTCTATCCATGGGATTTTCAGCATGGAGGGGTTTTCCAGCTCTGGAATTACCCACCAGGAAAAATTTAACCCCACAAAACTCCTGCCCTCCTCCGGGGCCGCCGGGTGTGGGAGGCCGCGTTCCAGAGCCTGATCCTCCCTGGAGTTCCCTGTCCCTGCACATTCCTGCTCCAGCTGCCTCTTCCCTGCTGATCCTGGCATTTTTCCAGGCCAGCTCGTGTCCTCCCTTATCAAATCTGGGGACATTACGAGTTAATGAGGCTTTCAGCTTCCCGTGGTGACATGAGGACAGGGCTTTGTCACATCCTTACGGCTTCTTCAGCACGGGGACAGCCCTGGAAGGAAGGGACATGGAATGGGGATAGGAAAAGGGTGGGAGCAGCAGTGGGAATATCCCAAAATGCCAGGGCCAGGGGGATTTTCAGCTGGGTGACATTTGGAGACACCTGGGATGATGTCACCTCGTCCAAGATAGGGAGCAGGGAAGTGTTTGGGTTCAGTGACCTTTGGGGACAGCTGAGACAATGTCCCTTGGAATGACACTGGATATAGGGAACAATTTGGGTTTAGTGACCCATGGGGACACCTGGGACAATGTCCCTTGGCATGAGATTGGTCACAGGGAAGGCTTTTGCCTTGGTGACCCTTGGGGACACCTGAGATGATGTCACCAAGTCCAAGATGGGAAGCAGGGAAGGGTTTGGGTTCAGTGACCCTTGGGGACAGCTGGGACAAGGTGAGATTGGACGCAGGGAAGGTTTTCAGCTGGGTGAGCCTTGGAGACACCTGGGATGATGTCACCCAGTCCAAGATGGGAAGCAAGGGAGGGTTTGGGTTCAGTGACCCTTGGGGACACCTGGGACAATGTCCCTTGGTGTGAGATGGGACACAGGGAAGAATTTTGGTTGGGTGAGCCTTGGAGACACCTGAGACGATGTCCCTTGGTATGAGATTGGTCACAGAAAAGGATTTTGGTTGGGTGACACATGGGGACACCTAGGATGATGTCACCTCGTCCCAGATGGGAAGCAGGGAAGGGTTTGGGTTCAGTGACCCTTGGGGACATCTGAGACAATGTCCCTTGGAGTGACACTGGATATAGGGAACAATTTGGGTTTAGTGACCCTTGGGGACACCTGGGACAAGGCCCCTTGGACTGAAACTAGACATAAGGAAGGTTTTTGGGAATCTTGGCTCCAACTTCAGGGTCCAAGTGAGGGGGGCTCAGCACAATAAAAACAGGAGCCCCCAACCACCCTGGCTGCTCCCATGGGCATCCATCCCTCTCCAGGGCTGTCCGAACCCCTGTGTCCCATGGGAACAGGGTCTTTGGGAACAGTTGCAGCCACCCCACGGAATGTGGGAGACACTTTTCTGAATGAGTGAAGATGTATAAGAAGAATCACCCATCAGGGAATCACCAATCTGCGTGAAAAATCCAGGAAAAATCCTGAAAATCCTGGGGAAATCCTGAAAATCCAGGGAAAATGAACCAGTTCCTGGGGTCTTTACCACTTTTCTGGGATCCCCCAGTCGAAAGGGCTTGATCCCATTCCTTGCCTTCCAGCGGAGCGAGGCGCGTTCCCAACAGGCGCCGTCCTTCTCCGTGGTGGTGGCCATCGATTTTGGCACCACCTCCAGCGGTTACGCCTTCAGCTTCACCAGCGACCCCGAGGCCATCCACATGATGAGGTGAGCGCCTGCCAGGGGCCCCGGAGCTGGGAAAGGACTTTCATGGCCCCAAAACTGTCAGAGGTTGGGTTAGTGGGAGATGGTTCCTGGCAGCAGCAGGTGGAAGGTGTGGGGTGAGGATACTACAAGAGATGGAGCCCTTCTTCTCTGGAGCCAGGCTGGGAGAGCTGGGAATGTTCACCTGGAGAAGGGAAAAATGCAGGGAATTCTCAGAGTCCCTGAAGGGGCTCCAGGAGAGCTGGAGAGGGACTGGGGACAAGGCCTGCAGGGACAGGAGCCAGGGAATGGCTCCCATTGGGAAAGGGGAGATTGGGCTGGGATCTTGGCAAGGAATTGCTGTCTGGGAGGGTGGGCAGGGGCTGGGCTGGAATTCCCAGATTTGCTGTGGCTGCCCCTGGATCCCTGGCAGTGTCCAAGGCCGGGTTGGACAATGGGGCTTGGATCCACCTGAGATAGTGGGACGGATTCCTGCCGTGGAAGTAGGTGGCACTCAGTGGTCTTCAAAGTCCCTCTCAATCCAAACCAGTCTGGAATTCCATGAAATTCCTCAGAGGATGGAGCAGGATCACCCCTCCGTCTTTGTCCCCCTTTAAGGTCCTTCACGCCATGCCCACAGAAACAAACTAAACCTGGCAGGACCCATTGCCTGGAATTTCACCTGCTCCGGCTCCTCTTTGCAGGAAATGGGAAGGGGGGGACCCGGGCGTGGCCAACCAGAAGACCCCCACCAGCCTCCTGCTGACCCCGGAGGGGACATTCCACAGCTTCGGCTACACCGCCCGCGATTACTACCACGACCTGGACCCCGACGAGGCCCGCGAGTGGTTCTACTTCGAGAAGTTCAAGATGAAGATCCACAGCACCAGTGTGAGTCCCTGCTCCCATCCTGAGGATTCCGGTGTTCCCAGGGGGATCCTGGCCAGGCTGGGAATTGAAATGTTGGGAAAAAATCCCATTTTAGGGGGTGAATTTGAGGTTCTCCCATCCGAGCTGCTCCAGGGTGGCTGGATGTGGCTGCACAAAGCTTCAGGTTCCTGAGCTCCAGCTGAGGCGCAGAAGGATGAGCAAATTCCCGAGGTTTGGTGATGGATCCACCTCCCAGCTCCTGGTGTGATCCATCTGCTGTTCCCGGCAGGATCTGACCATGAAAACTGAGCTGGAAGCTGTCAATGGGAAGAAGATGCCGGCGCTGGAGGTGTTCGCCCACGCGCTGCGCTTCTTCAAGCAGCACGCCGTGCAGGTGGGGCCACCTCCATCCCTCCTCCTCCTTCCCAAATGGAATCCTTTCTGTCCTCTCTATGCCTTCCATGGGAGGGTGGGGAGGCCCTGGAATGGAATTCCCGGATTTGCTGTGGCTGCCCTGTCCCTGGAAGTGTCCAAGGCCAGGTTGGACAATGGGGCTTGGAGTGACCTGGGATAGTGGGAGGTGTCCCTGGATGGAATTTAAGGTCCCTCCCCACCCAAATCATTCCGTGAATCACCGGGAACCCCCAGGTGTCACCTCCTGCCAGGAGCACCCAAGCTGGGAAAGGACTTTCATGGCCCCAAAATGGTCAGAGGTTGGGTTGGTGGGAGATGGTTCCTGGCAGCAGCGGGTGGAAGGTGTGGGGTGAGGATATTCCAAGGGATGGAGCCCCTCTGCTCTGGAGCCAGGCTGGGAGAGCTGGGGATGTTCCCCTGGAGAAGGGAAAAATCCCCAGGTGTCACCTCCTGCTTGTCCCCTGGCAGGAGCTGAAGGACCAGTGCCCGTCCCTGCCCGAGAGCGATGCCATCCGCTGGGTGCTCACCGTGCCAGCCATCTGGAAGCAGCCGGCCAAGCAGTTCATGCGGGAAGCAGCCTACAAGGTGGGGGGACTCTGGAGGGTGACCACGTGGTGACCCTCACAGGGGTTGTGGTGTCCAGGGTATCCCCTTCTCCCCTCTGAATTCCCATTGCCAGAGGGTAGAGTTAGGTGGGATATCGGGAGGGAATTCCTGGCTGGGAGGTGGGGAGGGGCTGGGATAGAATTCCCAGAGAAGCTGTGGCTGCCCCTGGATCCCTGGAAGCGTCCAAGGCCAGGTTGGATGAATTTGGATCCACCTGGGATAGTGGGAGGTGTCCCTGCCCATGGATAGGGTGGGAGTAGGATAGGATTTAAGGTCCTTCCCACCCAAACCCAAGGGATTTAAGGTCCTTCCAACCCAAAAGTTGTTAGGTGAGAGGGTGGGTAATTTTCCAGGTAGGTGGTTAAGAGGATTATTGGGTGGTTGGTTGAATTTTTCAGTGGTTGGTGGTTGGTTTGTTGCTCAGGGTCATTGGTTGAGCAGTTGTCTGTTTGAGTGGTTAGATAGTTGGTTGATGTGTCAGTTCAGCAGTTGGTTGGTTGAGTGGTTGGGTGGGTTGTTGGTTTGGAGGTTGGTTAGGTGGCTGCTTGAGCAGTTTGGCCACTGGTTGGGTGATTGGTTGAGCTGTTAGTTGGTGGGTTGAGTGCTTGGTTTGGTGTTCAGGACATTGGTTGGTTCATTGACTGACTGGGTCACTGGTCGAGCGGTTGGATGATTGAGCAGGTGGTTGGTTGGGTGGTCAGGTCGTTCGTTGGATGTGGGTCAATGGTCAGGGGGTCAGGTCAGCGGTCAGGTGGTTAGTTGTGTGGTTGGTTTGGTGATCAGTTCTTTGGTTGTGTGGTTGGTTGGACAGTTGTTTGGGTGGTGAGGTCATCAGTTGGTTCGGTGACTGGTTGGATGGTTGGTTTGGTGGTCAAGTGGTTGGTTGTGTGGTGAGGTTGTTGGTTGGTTAGGTGGTTGGTTGGATGGTTGTTGGTTGGGTGGTTGTTTTGGGGGTGAAGTCATTGGTTGGTTGGTTGGATGGTTGGTTTGGTGGTTAGTTCAGTGGTTGTGTGGTTGGTTGGATGGTTATTTGGGTGGTGAGGTTGTTGGTTGGTTGGGTGGTTGGTTGCATGGTTGGTTTGGTGGTCAGGTCATTGGTTGGTTGGTGGTTGGTTAGATGGTTAGCTGAGTGGTGAGGTCATTGGTTGGTTGGATGGTTGGTGGGTGGCCAGGTTGTTGGTTGTGTGGTTGGTTGTGTTGGGTGGATTTATGGCAGGTTGTGTGGTCAGTGATCAGCTGCATGCTTGGATTGTTGGCTGAGCTGTTGGGTCACAGGTTGGGTGGTTGATTGGTCAGTTGAGATTTTGGGTGAATATTCAGATATTGGCGAGTATTGGGTCCTCCCTCATCTCACAATTCCAGATCCCTGTGACAACCAAGGGCATGGGGACACACCTGGAAACCCCCAGTCCCTGTCACCGCGTGTTCCCGCAGGCCGGGCTGGTGTCCCCGGAGACGCCGGAGCAGCTGTTGATCGCGCTGGAGCCTGAGGCCGCCTCCATTTACTGCCGGAAGCTGCGGCTGCACCAACTGATCGAGCTGAGCTGCCGCCCCCCGGCCAACGGCGCTGAGACCCCACGCTCCATCGACTCCAGCTTCCGGCAGGGTGAGGGGCCATGGGAGTGGGATTGGGACAGGGCAGGGGCTGGAGGAGCAGGGAATAGGCTCGGGATAGGGCAGGGGGGCTGGCGGAGCAGGGAGTGGGGTCGGGGATAGGCCTGGGGGCTGGAGGAGCAGGGAATGGGGTTGGGATAGGGCTGGAGGAGCTGGGAATGGGATCGGGATAGGGCCAGAGGCTGGAGGAGCAGGGAATGAGATCTGGCCCTGCACACCAGATCTGGAAGGTCCATCAGCTGCCATGGCTGGGGAAGTCCCCAGAAACCCCGTTCCAGAGAGTCCCCATCCCCAGAACCCCCCTCCCCCCCCACATTGCCAGAAACCCCATTCCCAGAGAGTCCTCTGTCGCCAGAGACCCCTTGTCCTCAAAGACTTCCCATCCTCACACCCCCATTCCCAGAGGCCACAATGCAGAGACCCTTCATTCCCAGAGACCCCCATTTCCAGGGACCTCCCATCCCCAGAGACCCCATTCCCAGAAATCTCCAGTCCCCAGAGGCCCCATTCCCAGAAAGCCCATTCCCACACCCTCTCATTCCCAGAGACCCCCGTCCCCAGAGACCCCATTCCCGGAAACATCATTCCCAGACACCCCCATTCCCAGAAACGCCATTCCCAGACCCCCCATTCCCAGACTCCCCCATCCCCCTCTCCCCAAATCCAGGGCATTTTTCCCTGCTTTCCCATAAGCCTCCAAGCTGTGTCCCCCTCCTGCCACCTTGGCCACCACCCCATGGTTTCTCTGGGCCACCTCCAGGGATTGTCCCCCCCATGGATGAGATCCTGGGCTTTACTGGGACAGCCCCAGTTTGCCCAGCTGGGACCAAGCCCCGGAACTGGGATGTGCTGGTGGCGATCCCAGATGGAGATTTGGGGGATTTATGGGGTTGCTCACGCTGACCCCAAGGACGAGGAATTATCCCAGTGCCAAAAGTATCCCAGGACAACCCCACCTTTCCCAGCTCATCCCGGCCCTTCCGGGTGCCTTTGATGTCCCAGGGATGGGGGGGAGCAGAGGAAACCCCACCCGGGCTGTGGGGTCAGGGCTGGAGGTGGCATCGCCCAGGGTGGGCATGGGGTGATGCCCTGGGATCCGCTGGGATCCTTTGGGATCGCAGCAGGGAAAGCTGGATCAGCCCATCCATGGTGGAGCTGGGTCATAATGGGGTCCTGGCTGGAGGGGAGCGGCCACCAGTGTTCCCAGTACAGACCCCACAGTGGGAATGGGGCGGATCCTGGGTAATGGGGTGGATCCCATGGAAATGGGATGATCCCAGAGAAGTGGGGTGGATGCCATGGAAGTGGGGGGGATCCCATGGATATGGAGGGGATTCCATGGAAATGGAGTGGATCCCATGGAAGTGGGGTGGATCCTATGGATATGGGGGGAATCCCATGGATATGGGGTGGATCCCCTAGAAATGGGGGTGATCCCATGAAAATGGGGTGGATCCCATGGATATGGGGTGGATCCCCTGGAAATGGGGGTGATCCCATGGAAGTGGGGTGGGTCCCATGGACATGGGGTGGATTCCATGGACATGGGGTGGATCCCATGGATATGGGGGGGATCCTGACCCCACTGCCGGCCCCCGGCTCTGTCCCCCAGCCCGGGAGCAGCTCCGACGATCCCGGCACAGCCGCACCTTCCTGGTGGAGTCGGGAGTGGGCGAGCTCTGGTCGGAGATGCAGGCAGGTATGAGGGGGGGACAGGGGTGAGGGGGTCCCCACTGGAGATTTCCAGATCCCAAGGTCCCCCTGCATGTCCCCTTGGTGACAGAGCCACCCTCAAGCACCCAAGGGTTCTCCTGCCATGGGGGTGACACCGTTGGGGTCTGTCCCTTGACCGCACAGAAGGGGCGGGGTCTCCCTGCCACCATCCCGTCTCTTCGTCTCTCCGCCCGCCCCAATTCCCGATATTTTGGTTAAAGTTTCATTTTCCCCGGGAAAACGCAGCCCCGTGTCCCCGAGGGTGCGTGTGGCGAGGGTCACTGAGGACCGCCACCCTGTCGCTGTCCCCCCCGCAGGGGACAGGTACATCGTGGCCGATTGTGGCGGGGGGACTGTGGATCTGACCGTGCACCAGATCGAGAAGCCGCAGGGGACGCTGAAGGAGCTCTACAAAGCCTCGGGTGGGATGAAGATCCTTATTCAGACCTTTTTTCCCTGCTCCGGGATCCTCCCGGGACCCCAAATCCAGGCTGGGACCCCAAATCCGGGCTGGGACCCCAAACCCAAGCAGGGACCCCAAATCCGGGCTGGGACCGCAAACCCCACGAAAGGGTCGTGGATGGGGCTGTGGCGCCACCTGGTGGCGATGGGGGGAAGTGCAGGGGGATCCGGGAGGCGACAGAGAGGGGACAGAGGGAAGGGGACACGGACTGGGGGGACAAAGAGGGACAGGGCTGGGTTAGGGGGACAAGGTGGGGCGGAGAGGATGGGGAGGGTGAGTGAGGGGGACAGAGGGACAAGGGAATGGGGTGGAGGGGACAGGGGTGTGGGGGGGACATGGGGACATGGATGGCACAAGGACATCGGGATGGGGCATGTGGGGACATGGTGGTAGGGGTGCCACGGGGATGTGTGGGGACCTCAGGATGTGGGGAAGTGGGACATGGAGATGTGGGTGACACAGGGACATGGGGGAGACAAGGGCATGGAGATGAAGGACATGGGGACTTGGGAATGTGGGGGGTGTGGGGATATGGTGTTGGGGGGGACATGGAGACATGGGGGATATGGGGGCTGTGGTGAAGGGGGACATGAGGACATCAGGATGGGGGATATAGGAGACACAGGGACATGGGGGTGGGGGACACAGGGACATGGGGGGAGACAAGGAGGTGGGGATGAAGATATGGGGACATGGAGATGTGGGGATATGGTGTTGGGGGGGACATAGGAGATATGGAGGACATGGAGATGTGGAGGATATGGGGGACACAGTGATGGGGGAAATGAGGATGTCAAGCTGACACGGGGAAATGGGGATGGGGGACATGGGGGTGTGGGTACCACAAGTATAGGGGGATGGTGGACATGGGGACCACAGGGACATGGGGACAGCAGACATAGCGGCCACAGGGACATGGGGATGGGGGGCCCAGGGACATGGGAATGTAGGGGACATTGGGACATGGAGATGTGGGAGAATGTGGTGATGGGGGACATGGCTGCCATGGGGACATGGCAACCACGGGGCCACCTCCTGACCCCACCCTTGCCCCCCAGGAGGTCCCTACGGGGCCGTGGGTGTGGACCTGGCCTTCGAGAAGCTCCTGTGCCACATCTTTGGGGAGGATTTCATCGCCACCTTCAAGGCCAAGCGTCCGGCGGCCTGGGTGGACCTGACCATCGCCTTCGAGGCGCGGAAGCGCGCGGCCGCCCCAAGCCGCTCCAGCCCCCTCAACATCTCCCTGCCCTTCTCCTTCATCGACTTCTACCGCAAACACCGCGGCCACAACGTGGAGACCGCGCTCCGCAAGAGCAAGTGAGGGGTGGCGCGGGTTGGGGACGTCTCGGGAGCGCGGGGACACGGTGGGAGTGATGCTGGGGTGGGAGAGGGCAAGAGAGGGGGGAAAGGCGGGATAGGGTGGGAGGGGAGAGGACAGGGAAGGACCAGGCGGGAGTTCCTGGTCACCCCCGGGTCCCCTGTCTGTCCCCAGTGTGAACCTGGTGAAGTGGTCGTCCCAAGGGATGCTGCGGATGTCCCCCGAGGCCATGAACGAGCTGTTCCAGCCGACCATCACCCACATCATCCAGCACATCGGTGGGGCCCGGGGACACGGCCATCCCTGGGGAACCCCTGTCCCTGTGTCACCCCCTGTCCATCCCTGGGGAACCCCTGTCCCTGTGTCACCCCATGTCCATCCATGCAGAATACCCTGTCCCTGTGCCACCCCCTTGTCCATCCCTGGGGTCACTCCCCATCCCTGGAACCTGCCCTGTTAGTGGGAGCCCCCCATTCCCGGGATCATTCCCATCATTCCTGGGAGCCCCTTCATCCTTGGAATCATTCCTGTCCTTGGGACCATCCCATGCCTGAGAGATCGCCCCCTTGCCCCCATCCCTGGGACAATCCTACACCCTGGGATCCCCTTTGTCCCTGTGACCCTGCTCCTGTCCCTTGGACCCTCCTGTGCCTGGGACTCCCCTTCATCCCTGGGACCTTCCCTGTCCCTGGAACCCATCTTGTCCCTGGAATCACCCCTGTCTCTGGAATCCACTCCATCCCTGGAACTCACCTTGTCCCTGGGATCCCCCATTCCTGGAACCCACCTTGTCACTGGAATCCCCCACTGTCCTTGGAAACCTTTTATCCTTGGAACCCCATTGTCCCTGGAAACCTTTTATCCCTAAAACCCCCCTTGTCCCTGGAACCCCCCTTGTTCCTGGAACGCCCATTATCCCTGGAATCCCCCTTGTCCCTGGAAACCTTTTATCCCCAAAACTCCTCCTGTCCCTGGAACACCCATTGTCCCTGGAACTCCCCTTGTCCCTGGTACCCTCCCTGTGTCTCAGCCCCATTCCATCCCTGGAACTTCCCCCATTCCTGGACTCCCCTCATCCCTGTCCCCCCATCACCCCCACCCCTTCCCCACACTCCTTCTCCCCCATCCCAACCCCAAAACTCCCCTTTTATCCCCCCCTCCAGACGCCCTCCTGAAGAAACCCGAGGTCCACGGCATCAAGTTCCTGTTCCTGGTGGGCGGCTTCGCCGAGTCGGCCATGCTGCAGCGGGCGGTGCAGGCCGCCTTTGGCCACTGCTGCCGCGTCATCATCCCGCAGGACGTGGGGCTCACCATCCTCAAGGGGGCCGTGCTCTTCGGCCTGGACCCCGGCGTGGTGCGGGTGCGCCGCTCCCCGCTCACCTACGGCGTGGGCGTCCTCAACAAGTTCGTGGAGGGCAAGCACCCGCGCGAGAAGCTGCTGGTCAAGGAGGGCAAGAACTGGTGCACCGACATCTTCGAGAAGTTCGTCACCGTGGACCAGTCGGTGGCCTTGGGAGAGGTGGTCCAGCGGAGCTACTGCCCGGCCCGGCCCGGCCAGCGCCGGACCATCATCAACATCTACTGCTGTGACAGGGATGACGTGGTGTACATCACCGACCCCGGCGTCAGGAAGTGCGGCACCATCAGCCTGGAGCTGGGGGACGCGGGGGACGCGGGCGCGGCGCGGGGCCGGCGTGAGATCCGCACCAGCATGCAGTTCGGGGACACCGAGATCAAGGTGACGGCGCTGGACACGCGCACGGCGCGCAGCGTGAGGGCCACCATCGACTTCCTGTCCAACTGAGGCGGCCCTGGGATGTGCCACCATTGTCTTCCTGTCCAACTGGGACTACCCAGGATGTGCCACCATCGACTTCCTGTCCAACTGAGGGGCCCTGGGACGTGCCACCATTGACTTCCTGCGCCGCTGACACTACCCAGGACGTGCCACCATCGATTTCCTGTCCAACTGAGGGTCCCTGGGACATGCCACTATTGAATTTGTGTCCAACTGAGACTACCCAGGATGTGCCACCATCAACTTTCCATCCAATTGAGGGGCTCCTGGGACGTGCCGCCATCAACTTTGTGTCCAATTGAGGGGCCCCTGGGACATGCCACCATTGACTTCCTATTCAACTGAGGGGCCCCTGGGATTTGCCACCATCAAATTCCTGTCCATCTGGGACTACCCAGGATGTGCCACCATCAACTTCCTGTCCAATTGAGATGACCCTGGGATGTGCCACCATCAACTTCCTGTGCATCTGAGACTACCCAGGACATGCCACCATCGACTTCCTGTGCAACTGGGACTACCCAGGACATGCCACCATCAACTTCCTGTCCAATTGAGGGGCCCCTGGGATGTACCACCATCGACTTCCTGTCCAACTGGGACTACCCAGGATGTGCCACCATCGACTTCCTGTCCAATTGAGGGGACACTGGGATATGCCACCACTGTCTTCCTGTGCAACTGAGACTATCCAGGATGTGCCACCATCAACATTCTGTTCAACTGGGACTACCCAGGACGTGCCACCATCGATTTCTCATAGAATTGAAGGGCTCCTGGGACATGCCACCATTGATTTCCCGTCCAACTGAGGGGCCCCTGGGATGTGCCACCATCCACTTCCTGTCCAACTGAGACCTTCCTGGAGACTCCACCATTGAATTCATCTCTAACTGAGACCTCCTGTCATTATGGGGATACCTCCAGGGCCTGCCACCCTTGACTTCCTGTCCAACTGAGTGGCCCTGGCATTGTGGGGACACCCCTGGAATATGCCACCATTGACTTCCCATCCATCTGAGACCCTCTTGGAGATGCCACCATGGACTTCATCTCCACCTGAGGGACCCTGTGATTGTGGGGACACCCCTGGAAGATGCCACCATTAACTTCCTGTCCAACTGAGAGTCCTTGTCATTGGGGGGACAATCCCAGGACCTGCCACCATGGACTTCATCTCCAACTGAGAGTCTCTGTCATTGTGGGGACACCCCTGGGAGATGCCACCACTGTCCAAATTGGACCTCCTTGGAGATGCCACCAACTGACATTGGGACCACCACTGTGTGGACCACTGGGAGATGCCACCACTGACTTAATCTTCAACTGAGGCCATCCTGGGATCTGCCACCACTGAATCCTGTCCAACTGAGAGTCCCTGTCATTGTGGGGACAGCCCCAGGAGCTCCCACCATCAACTTCCTGTCCCACTGAGAGGCCTTGGGAGATGCCACCATCAACTTCATCTCCAGCCAAGACTTCACCAGCATCATGGGGACTTCTAGGACCTGCCACCATGGACATCTTGTCCAACTGAGACCTTCCTGGAGATGCCACCATGGACATCTTGTCCAACTGAGACCTTCCTGGAGATGCCACCACCGATTTCCACCCCAGCTGAGATCTCCTGTCACTGTGGTGACCATGCCAGGACCTGGAACCATTGACTCCCTCCCAGACTGAGACCCCCCATTATCCTGGGGACCCCAATCCCTGTCTGCCACCCTCTCCCAGCCCCCCTTTAACTGGAATTGGCCTCACGACCCCTCCCCATCCCCCATCCAGGACTGTTTGGGATCGTCCACCCGGGGGTGTCCCCTGTCCCTCTGGGCAGGGTCATGGAGGGCATTTGGGCTCCCATCCCATTCCCAGTGGGATTTTCCTCCTTCCCGAGGTGGGATTTTGTACTTTAACCCCTCCCCCAGGCATGTAAAATATCTTTATATTTATATACATATATATATATACATATATTTGTAGGCACATAAAACCTCCTGAAACTGCTCCTGGTCCTTGTACCATGAGGGAAAAAAAATGGGAAAATAGAGAAAAAAACCAGGAAAAAAATCTGAGAAAAACAAACAAACAAAAAACCCCAAAAAAGAGGCGCTGGCAGCAACACAAGGACATGGCGGGGGACACGGCAGGGGGACACAGCCCCAACCCCGAAGCCACCAGGGACCCCCCGCTCCCGCCCCACATTCCACAGGCAAAATTCCTCCCCCACCTCAGAAAAGAGGGAAAAATTCCCACCCCAAGAGGCACAATTCCCCCAAAACCCCCAACACGGGGCTGCGGGGTGAGGGCGAAGCAGCGGCAGCAGCAACGAGCGGGGTCCCCCCCTCTGCCCGCTTTGGGGACCGTGCTGTGCTCTGCGGACTTTGGGGACTTTGGGGTGCCCCGGGGTGGGCTCTGGGGTCAGTCAAAGCCGTGCCACTCGCTCTGCTCTGAGTCGTACTCCAGCTCGGCTCCCATGCAGCGCACCCCGTCCAGGAGCATCGGCGTCCCATGGTGACGGTCTGGGGACAGCAGGGGACATGGCTCGGGGACAGCTCTTTTTGGGGGGTGGGGGGTGGGAATGTCCCTTTTTTAAGGGGTTTGGGGGTGGTTTTATGCTCCCAATGCTGAGGCCGGGTGGGTGAGGGATGTGTTGTCCCTTGTGTCACCACTGTGATCACTGCCCAGGGGGTGGTGACAACCTCGGGGGGCTGGGGGTGGCTGGGATATGGGGTGGGAGATACAGGGAGCAAGGGGGTGTTGGGGTTTATGGGGAGGGTCCCAATGGCAATGGGGTCCCAGGGACAGGGGACATCCCAGGGACCAGGTGAGGGTCCCAGGAACAAATGGGGGGACCCAACCAGGCACAGGGACCCCAGGGACATTGGGGTCACTCCCCACCCGCTCCCTTCACCCCTTCCCAGGGCTCTCCTCAACCCCTGGGCTGGGGAGTTTTTGGGATGAAATCCCCATTTTGGGCAATTCCTCAAGAGTGCCCTGGAGATGGGACAGCGCCACACCTGAACTGAGACACTGGGACAACTGGGAAGAGTGGCTGGGCCTGAGCGGGGAGGGAAGGGGACAGGGAGGGACCCTTACCCATGACCCGGGCCTGCACGGTGACCTTGATGTGGCCGGGGCTGTGTCCGGCCAGCAGCAGCTCCTCCTTCAGCACGCCCTCCTTGTGCGCCATGTACTCGCAGCGCACGCTGTGCCCTGGACATGGGGACATGCAGGGGCTGCTGGAGAACTGATTGGGACCTCCTCACCCTGCCCGTGCCCTCCTCACCCTGCCTGTGCCATCCTCACCCTGCCCGTGCCAGCCTGGGCCTTCCTCACCCTGCCCATGCCCTCCTCACCCTGCCTGTGCCGTCCCCACCCCGCCTGTGCCAGCCTAAGCCAGCCTAAACCCTCCTCACCATGCCTGTGCCCTCCTCACCCTGTCCCTACCCTCCTCACCCTGCCTGTGCCAGCCTGTGCCCTCCTCACCCTGCCTGCACCTTCCTGAACCCTTCCTGTCCTACCTGTGCCCTCCTCACCTTGCCTGTGCCTGCCTGAGCCCTTGTCACCCGGCCTGAGCCCTTGTCACCCTGCCTGTGCCCTCCTTACCCTTTCCTGAAACTTCCCTGGCCTTCCTGAACCTTTCCTGTCCTACCTGTGCCTGCCTGCACCTTCCTGAACCTTCCCTGAAACTTCCCTGCCCTCCTCAACGTGCCTGCACCTTCCTGAAGTTTCCCTGCTCTCCCTGAACCCTCCCTGCCCTGCCTGTGCCTGCCCGAACCTTCCTTGCCCTCCTCGACCCTCCCCTGCCCTGCCCTCAGTGCCCAAGTCCTGCCTGTGCCCTCCTAACCCTGCCTGCCCTTCCCTGAATATTCTCTGCCCTGCCTTTACCTTCCTGTCTTTCCCTGCCCTGTCTGCAGCTCCCTGAACCTTCCCAATCCTGCCTGAACCCTTTCGGTCCTTCCCTGCCCTGCCTGCACCTCCCTGAACTTTCCCTGCCCTCCCTGTCCCCTCCCTGCCCTGCCTGTCCCTGTCCCCTCCCTGTCCTGCCTGTCCCCCCTCACTCACAAGTTCCCCAGGGCTCCTTTCCCCTGCTCCAGAGAGGGCTGGCCCCAATCCCAGCTCCAATCCCAATCCAAGTTCCAATTCCGATCCCAGCTCCAATCCCAATCCCGGCTCCAATCCCGATCCCATCTCCAATCCTGGTCCCAATTTTGGCCTCAATTTTGGTCCTGTTTCCGATCCCGGCCCTCATCTTGGTCCCACATCTGATTCTGGCCTCAATCCTGGTCCCGATTCTGGCTCCTGCCTCCAATCCCAGTCCTGATTCCAGCCTTGATCCCAGTCCCAATCCCAGCTCTGATCCCAGTCCCAATCCCAGCTCTGATCCCAGTCCTGATCCCAATTTCTGGCTCCAATTCCAGCTCCAATCCTGGTCCTTATTCCAGCCTTGATCCCAGCCCCACCCCCAGCTCTGATCCCAGTCCCAATCCCAGCTCTGATCCCAGTCCTGATCCCAATTTCTGGCTCCAATTCCAGCTCCAATCCTGGTCCTTATTCCAGCCTTGATCCCAGCCCCACCCCCAGCTCTGATCCCAGTCCCAATCCCAGCTCTGATCCCAGTCCTGATCCCAATTTCTGGCTCCAATTCCAGCTCCAATCCTGGTCCTTATTCCAGCCTTGATCCCAGCCCCAACCCCGGCTCTGATCCCAGTCCCAGTCCCAGTCCTGATCCCAGTCCCAGTCCTAGTCCTGATCCCGGCTTCTGCCTCCAATCCCAGCCCTGATTCCAGCCGTGATCCCAGCCCCAGTCCTGGCTCTGATCCCAGTCCTGATCCCAGCCCCGATCCCAATTCCAATCCCAGTCCCAATCCCAATCCCAGTCCCAGTCCCGGTCCCAATCCCGACTCCAATCCCAGTCCCAATCCCGGATTCCCATCCTGGTCCGCCCCCTATCCTGTTCCCAATTCCGACCCCCGTTGGGAATCTCCAAACAAACCCTAAAGTGCTTTTTTCGGGGTGGAGCCAGCGGTGGGTGGGAAAAGTCCCATCCCTGCCCTGTCCCTGCTGCTGGGAGGTGACACCAAAGCCCAGCCCTGTCCCCACTGCCAGGAGGTGACACCAAAGCCCAGCCCTGTCCCCACTGTCCCCACTGACAGGAGGTGACACCAAAGCCCAGCTCTGTCCCCGCCCTGTCCCCACCGCAGTGAGGTGA